CGAGAAAAAGCGGCCCACCTGAAGTACTCCCGTTGACCTAACAGCGGACAGAGAGACAGACAGACGGGCTGTCTGTCCTTCAGAACCAGCACTGCACTGCACAAACACCCCGAAGGGCCAACTGGGAGAAATCAGACATCTATGCAGTGCTAAATTCAAAGGACCAAAAAAAAAAAAAAAAAAAAAAAAAAAAAAAAAAAGGACCCTTTTGTTTTTCGGACCTTGACTCAAAAGGAGAATTCAGACCAAAAAAAACACCAGCCTCGGTACCTTTCAGCGGCCCAACCCTACCTGCCTCACCCCTATACCCCGATGCGCCCCCAGATTTGACAATTTTGAAAGGAAAGGAGGGAACGCCAGCCTGCCAGCCTGGTCAGGATGCGACCTCTTTTTTTTTCCCCCTCTCCTTCTTTTAATTAGAAAAGAAAAAATTGTGGAACAAAGATGTAATTTTAATAATAATTTAGTAATTTTGATAAAGATCCAATTCAATTTAGAGATATTTATAAATCATCTCAACGTCGTGCTTTAGAGAAATTTAGAGAATTTATTGAAGTCAACAAATAAAAGATGCAAGGAAAAGTTCAGAGTGGGGTGGCCGAGCACTCCCCTCACTTCTAAAAGATGCTATAAGGGCCCTTTAGAGAATTTATTGAAGTCAACAAATAAAAGATGCAAGGGAGAAAAGTTTGGGCCACGCGATACCCCGAAACTGTTGGCACTCGTCTATACATGCGAGTATTCATTTCCTAATTGTGTCCAGCCTCTTTTTCGAAGGGCCCTTATAGCGAATTAGCTACGACCCTACATGCAGCAGAGGAGAACTTCAAACTTGCAGTCACCAGCGTGAGCAGAGAATATATACACTGCACGTATTAAAACTAGAAAAGAAAAGAAATAGTGAGCAAATTTGCAAAATTAGAAAGAATCTGCCGCAGAACGTGGAATAATACACCACCATATGTTTTGTCTTCTGTGTATGCGGTGAGTAACACAGAAGACAAAACATATGGTGGTGTATTATTCCACGTTCTGCGGCAGATTCTTTCTAATTTTGCAAATTTGCTCACTATTTCTTTTCTTTTCTAGTTTTAATACGTGCAGTGGCCCTAAGGGCCGTTACTCACCAAATACACAAAAGACAAAACATATGGCGGTGTATTATTCCACATTCTGCGGTAGATTCTTTCTAAGTTTGCAAATTTGCACATTACGTGAGTAGTGCARCCAAGCCCTGAGAATCRCGTGCAGACTCTGCAGACCAACACTGCCTAGCTACGTGAGCAACCCATAACGGCTGAAACACAGACCTGAACTTCAATCCTGAGGATATATTGGGCCAGCTCGTGCTCTACTTCATACTCACTACCGGCCTCGATTTTGATGGAGGGTCTGCAGTTTAGTGCTGCGAGGACCCTCCGCATTGCCTGCATGGGTCGTTTGAGCCGTGCTAACGGGATCTGCCCTCTCTCTCTCTCTCTCTCTCTCTCTCTCTCTCTCTCTCTCTCTCTCNTTGCGCATGGCGCATGGCGCATGCGCACCGCACGGCGCACCGCAGAAGTGCACCGCAAGTATGGTCGATACCCTACGTCGTCCTTTTGTCAAACCCCACAGCTTCCTGGGGGAGAGGCTTCGGGATCACCCGGAGGGATTGTTGGCTTGGGGCCTTGGGGCCCGAGACTGGTTGGCTGTAGCAGCCGACGACAGGTGTTGGGAGCATGGGTACTATACTACTAACTGCTCCCCGCACAGAGCAGAGAGAGGTAGACGGAGACCCATAACCTTAGGATAGCTTTGTTCTTCTGGTGAAGAAAATTTATAAGGTAGTCGTTAGAACTTAGAACCCAGCGCTAGTTCGTAGCTCCAATCACATCCGGAACCAGTTTTTATAGCGTGCGTCCCGTTGCTGGATTAAGGTAGGGATTCTGGTCGGTCTGCTAGACAAGCGGAGGTAGGTAGTTACAAGATTGGAGAGAAGAAAAAATCTAGTAAATACCGCTTGACCCACATATGAGGAGAAGACAGCTGTATTTAAAAAGGAAAAAAAAAAAAAAAAAAAAAAAAAAAAAAACCTTAATAGGACAAAGTGTCAGATTGTGAATTTGAAAACACGGGTTCAACTCCCGTTATTTGCCTCTTGCATCTGAACTCTGGCGAGCCTAAATCCAGCCAAAGCTCGCGTCAAGACAGTTATTCATTGACTGAAGTTCAATGAATCTAAGAAAAAGAATGGCAATGGCAATGGCCTTGAGATGTCATCATCGAACTGACCCACCCTAGGTGATTCAGAATAAAATTTTTAAATTTTTTTCTCTGGTCATCTGATTCCATCTGGATTCAGACTTGGGTCTGTATTCCAACAGTTCGCGGGTGTACCAACTGAGCTAGGCCCCTTGGTCATCGAACTGACCCGCCTAGGTGATTCAGAATATATATTTATAATTTTTTAAAATTTTTCTCTGGTCATCTGATTCCATCTGGATTCAGACTTGGCTCTGTATTCCAACAGTTTGTGGGTGCACCAACTGAGCTAGGCCCCTTGGTGGTATGACCTCTTCAACCCTTTCCTGGACGCCAGTTATGTCTTTATTTTCTGGGTTCCCTCCGCCGAGGCTGAACCTAACCCAAGTGACAAAGTCTGTCATGTGTACGTGGATCAATTTTTTTTTGTGGCGATCACGTTTTTCACCTGATTTTTTGTTACTCGCATACATTGAGGCCCAGATGATAACCCTGGCCTTGAAACGGATGGACGACGGGTCAGGGGTCTGGGATTTTTTTGGGGCGATCATGTTTTTTTCACCTGATTTTTTGTTACTCATGTCAGCATTCTCACTTCTGATATCTCCAGCTGTTTTCACAAACAGCCTTCTTCAACTTACAGAACGTAAATAGCACATAAATCGAGGCAGAAAAGGATCCCTCAGACATATATGAGATTGAATAAATATGAACTAAACTACTGACAAAAGTGACCACAATTCACAGGATTGAAAAGAATACCAACCTGCGGGCGGAAATGCCTTCGAAGGTGGTCACCTTGGCAAGGGAACTGCCGGTGAAATGTTTCCCAAGACAATTTCTCGAACGAAGCATAAAGTGTTTTGCGAAGGTGCCGCCGAGATGCAATCTGGAAGTATATCGTTGGATTTGCTATACCAAACGAAGCTGTCCACGAAATTCACATAGGGGTAGGATGATAATTTGCTCTCACGATGTCTTTTGGGCATCGGAATGTGGTCTTCAAGAAGAAATGACATGTGGTGACTGTTTCGCGGAACTGGGGCTGTCTGAATGTTTTCGGACCCTGTTAGATGTAGGGACTGTAGGAGAACTCGTTCGTGTTTCGCTTTTCGGCCTTTTGCTTGGATGATGTCTTTCAGCAATCGGAAGGTAGGGGTGGTGGTTTAGGATAATTCTGAAAGCAGAAGATACATTTAAATTTTGAACAACATGGGCCAGTGCGGCTTTCTCCCGCATGACAAAGTGGGTCAGACACTAGTCGCCGACGATCACAATCACAACTATGGGAAAAACTGATTCCTTAAACTGATTCCTTTCTTCACAAAATCACGGACACACGAGAGACGGTAAACGGGGGCCCAAATATTCGCCGCTTTCGTTGGCAATTGCGGTGCGAATTTCATCAAAAGTTTTAAAAACAAACGATATGAGACCATAGTGCAAACATCAAAAAAGGAAACAGGCCAAAAAGAATGGAAAAAAAAAACAAAAAAACACTAAGAAACCCTAACACAAAGACACTGTCCGAGTCAAAATGAAGCGTCCAACGAATTCAACAAAATGCCAACTTTTTCATTATTGATCCGAACATGTCAAAACTGCACACATGACGTACCCTAAAGCACATATATATCACACAAAAAGAAAAACAAGAAAAAAAGAAAAAAATCAGCACAACATGACAGTTTCAGTGCAATTCTGTGCAAAATTCGTCGAAAATAACACCCCTGTTTAACCACGTGTGTATAGGACTGGCCCGCCCTGCAGGCCGGTAGGTAGTTCCTAGGTACTTCCCAGACACTTCACGTGCAGTTCAGGAGGCAGGAGGTAGTCTTCAGGATTTCGGCAGCAGCACTCTGGAGGAGCACTGCAGGAGAAGTAGCAGTGTTAGCTGTAGTCTTCAGCGCTGGGCGCCATAACAGCTAGAGTGGGACTGGAGAGAGAGAGGTTGGGCGGAGGCCAGAGGGACTTACCTGCAGCGCCACTGCTCCAGCTTCGTCTTCAAGGTACCTGCAGCATACCTGGCATATGAGAGAGAGAGTTCTTCTTCTTCCTCTTCTCAGTCCACCATCTCCTTCTCACCCTGTCGCTATCTGACTTCACTGCATCAGCAGACTACGAGAGAGAGAGAGAGGGAGCTTGGTGACATTTGGATCCAGACCCGACATTGGACTTCAGACATTTTGAAGAGGGATTATTTGGGACTTGTAACAAGACTTGGGGTTGACGACTTTCACATCTCCCCCTTCCTCTGCTTCGTCTGATCCCCTCCTCTTCGTCTGTGTATGTCTGGACCTGGCGCCTCTTTCCTGTGTATAGCGCAAGGCCCCTTCACACCTTGTGATGAGCATGATGTATGTTTGGTCTGCGTTGAAACATTGATTGGGCTAGTCATTAGTATTCTAGCGTTCTGTTTCGCTATCTTGTACTACGTGAAAGAGGTCAGTCCCGGTCAGGTCAGGACTTGTATCTAAAGTCTTCCCTGCGCTACAAAGCACCATTTTGTATGTATCAGAATGCACATTGCTTGTTGAGATTCCACTTGCATTGCGGATCCTCGGTTATAATGTAGATCACCCAACTGGGCATGTAACACGCACAGAGAGAGAGAGAGAGAGAGAGAGAGAGAGAGAGAGAGAGAGAGAGAGAGAGTTGATGGCGCGATGGTAGGCATCCTGGTACGCTAAGTACAAAAACCCTCAATAAAGGAATGGCTGTTTGCAAGAAAAGGACAAAAGAAAACAATTCATGTAGCTTCGGCACATACACGGTGAGTCTGTGACCTTTTTACATGAAGCTGGCTGTCTTGTTGGTCAGATTCATCCAGCAAAGTTCTTATGCCCTCAGTCTTCATATTCCCCCAGCTTAGCCCACAGGACGCACTAAGAAGCATTTTTGCAAATAAAAGGCAAGGACTCGCTAATGTTTTTTTTTTTTAAATACTACCAAAACCTCGACTACAGAACTTCGACAACGAGAATTCCTCCTGGATTTCTGCATCACACACACACACACACACACACACACACACACACACACACACACACACACACACACACACACACACTAACTAGCTAGTCATTACGTATAGCAAAACAAGATATCAGTAAACACGCCCATCCAAGCACATCATGCAACCTCTTGAAATTGACAAAGTCCAATTCCATTCTCACTTCAGCAGGCAAACCAAGGCAAGCAGGTGTGAAGAAGAAAAAGCAGGGCAAAAAAAAAGAGTCGACCAGTCGTATGTTTGACCTATTTGCTTCAATTCGCGTGGGCTTCTTCGCTGACCCGCCTGCTGTCGTCATGTCTGTTGATCGCCTAGGGCTGCAGGGTCTGCTTCCCCCAAACGACCTTGAGCACGGTCGCAAGGTTGACACTCAAAGGAATTGACGCGTACGCCCTTGCTTCTATACTGACCTGCCTGCTGTCGTCATGTCAGTCAATCAATCGCCTTTGACCTACTATCTACTTCCAGTGGCCTTCGTGTCTGCCCTGCCTGCTGTCAACATGTCTATCAATCGCCTCCGTACGCACCTGCTGCCTGCTGTTGTCATGTCTGTCGATCGCCGACATATGCCCCCGCTTCTCTTCGCTGACCCGCCTGTTGTCGTCATGCCTGTCGATCGCCGACATACGACGTCGTCATGTCTGTCGATCGCCTACATACGCCTCTGCTTCTATTCTGGCCTGCCTGCTGTCGTCATGCCTGTTGATCGCCGACATATGCCCTTGTTTCTCTGCTGACCTGCTTGCTGTTGTCATGTCTGTCGATCGCCTACATGTATCCGCCGGATTTCGTGCAACAGAATGAATCAAAGACCTAAACAAGTTTCCAATACCGATATTTCTTCGCTGACCCGCCGGGCTTCTTCGCTGACCTGGCTGCTGTCATCATGTCTGTCGATCGCCTACATACGCCTACATACGCCTCTGCTTCTATTCTGGCCTGCCTGCTGCCGTCATGTCTGTTGATCGCCTTTGACATTATCTATTTTGAGTGGGGTTCGTTTCCGACCTGCCCGCTGTCGTCGTGCCCATCGCTCGCCTCCGTATGGCCCTGCTTCTCGTCTGACCTGACTGCTGTCGTCATGTCTGTCGATCGCCGACGTACACCCCTGCCAAGTTCCAACCACAATAAACGTGTTTTGCTTGAACCACTGCAAGCACACTTAGGGAAGTGGTGCCACCTGGCACACACAAGTCGCGAACTAGCATATGAGAATTACCGGCGCGGTGGCGATAACAACTTCCCAGGAAATGCCTTGCCAAAGGCTCGTGCCCATTCCGGACGTTGAGGGTGTTTATTGGCGGCCCACGAAAAGCATCACAGGAGTCACAGCTAATAAATTTGCTGCTCCTCCATGCCCCTCAGAGCACACACGAGGCGCGAGGTGCAAGCTTCACTTGCATGCTTCATTTGCAGCTAATACAATTTGCTGCTCCGCCATGCGCCTCGTGTGCGCCTCGCGTCTCGTGCCCACCTGGCACACACAAGGCGCGAGGCGCGAGCTTCATGTGCATGTTTACAAAAACAGGTCCTTATATGGCTCTGGCTCCATGTCGATTCTGGAGAGCATCAGTCCGGTTCCGATTCCCCCGGCAAGTCATATGAGCAGAATTACATCAATACACACACACACACTCCCTTCCGTCTGGCCGAAGAGACCCTGATCAGCATTGATTGACCAGTCCTAGATATTCTAGATGTCCATAGGATCCGATCCGTGGTGGTCCCTCCTGGGTGACGTAGTCGTCATCCTTGATCTCAGCGCCAGGTGCTCACGACGAATCGATTCTGCAATTGATTTCGTCGGCAAATCTCTATCACTTGATGCAATTATGTCCACACGAGCCCGAACAGCGCTGATCGACTCCGCAGAGAGAGACTCCCCATGGTTGGTTGCTTGAAGGGCCTCTCGGAGGAACTCGAGGGCGGCGCTGCGCACCTGCAATCGATCAAAATGAGATTGTTACAAAGTCTGAGACTATCCACTGAACTCCCCGTTGTTATATCCCTTTCCTTTCTTTTTTCCTTCTCTCTCCTACTTCCATGCCTCCCATGATGCTTTGTATCCATTGTCTTGTTGCATCATGTTTTCTCTCTGTTCGTTTGAAGCGAATAAATCTTCGTAACATGAGGCACACTGACAAAAACACACAATCAGTTCGACCAACTTCTAATGGTGCGCTTTTTTCCGATTTATTCCATTCGAAATATGACAGGGCCAGGTCAGGCGGGTCAACAAAAAAAAAAAAAAAAAAAAAAAGTTATACCGACTTCTATGTATGTCTTTTTTTTTTAGTTTGGAAAAAACAGAACCTGAAAAAAAAAAGAGGGAACATCAGTCCGGTTCCTATTCCACCGGCAGGTCCAAGCATACATCATCTACTCACGCGACACTCTTCCCCATTATGGCTGTGAGGCCCAAGTGGACTGCATTAGGGGTTTAGGGAGGGGGAGGGGGGGGGGGGGGGGGGGTTTGGTGCCTTAGGCTGATTCTGTTGTTTTCTATTTTAGTATTTTGCCTTCGATCCCAAAAGGAAGTCTGTTCTGTCCCCCCAAAACAATTTTGGGGGCTTGGCTCCTGAATGGGGAAGGGTCCTGGAACGTTTTTTTCGTATTTTTTTTTCCCCTCGAAGTTTGGCAGATCTGGACCTTCCAGACCGGAAGTCTGGAGTCCGGACTGAATCCAGACTGTCTGGACGGCGGTCCGGACGTCTGGATCGTAGCCATGCTATTTTGCCTTCGATCCCAAAAGGAAGTCTGTTGTGTCCCTCAGGGCCTCAGCCAAGAGTCCTTTAAATTGCAATTTTACACAACATATTTTTTCCCGGAATTTTTAAAATTTTGGTGCTGGGACCCTGCCCAGAACCCTGGCTGGGGTTAATGCCCCGCTGGGCACTCAGGAATGTATCCAGGCACAAGTTGGACGCCTGGGCGCCTGACCAAACAGCCTAGTAAATTAAGACATATTACATAATGATTTAAAAAGAAAAAGAAGGGTTTTATCAACTTTTATACTGGCTCAGAGAGAACACTACCATCTTCGCCCAATTTGGCGGCCAAACATAACACCCAGGCGTTACATTCAACTTATGCTAGAAAATTCAAAATTCAGATTTTTATTTTTACTCACTTTTTTGAAGTTTTTTGGAAAATAACACCCGGGTGTTATATTCAAATAGAACGTGCGGTCATTATACCGGAATTTGCCATGGGCAGAGTGCGTTGTAGAGGGAGTATACATGGGTTTTAATTTTAAAGGAGGGGGGGAAGGGGGGTATACATGGGAGTTGAAGGGGGAAGACGGGATTTGACTTCCAAGGAGTATGCTTTGGTTTGATTTCTTGTTTTCGTCTTTTTATTTGAATAGAACGTGTGGTCATTATATCTGAATTTTCCATGGGCAGAGTGCCTTGTAGAGGGAGTATACCCCCCTTCCCCCCTCCTTTAAAACCCATGTATACTCCCTCTACAAGGCACTCTGCCCATGAAAATTCAGATATACTGACCGCGCGTTCTATTCAAAAAAAAAAAAAAAACAATACAAGAAATTAAAACAAAGCATACCCCTTGGAGGTCAAAACCCGTCTTCCCCCTTTAACACCCATGTATAGCCCCCTAGCCCCCTCCTTTAAAACCCATGCATACAAGAAATTAAAACAAAGCATACCCCTTGGAGGTCAAAACCCCTCTTCCCCCTTTAACACCCATGTATAGCCCCCTAGCCCCCTCCTTTAAAACCCATGCATAC